AAAAAAAAAAAAAAAACAAAGAGAAGGCAAAGATGAAAAAAGGTATCAAAAGAAAAAATGAAAATGGAAATGCAAATAAAAAGTTTTTTTCATTAAACGAGTCTTCTTTTTTTGCTTTTAATTCTATTAGAGCTTATCGTCTTCAAATTTGTTGGTTAATTTGGATGTCGATTAGTCATTGAATTTTTATCAGTTACACAATTTTATTACAATAGTTACAGTAACAATTACTGTTATTTCAATTACAGTTATCATTGTTTGTTTTAACGAATAAAAAAGTGCTGTGCTAATGGTTGCATTATATAAGTGGAAAAAGAAGTGGTTTTTTTTTTTTAAGATTACCGTTACGAACAGATTTTTGTTGATGGCAGATAAAATTATGTGATGTTGTTGTTGGGTTTTAACAACAACTAATAAGTGGATATTTTTCTGGTATTTTTGGCTCTATTATTCAAGCACAGAAAATTGAAAGAAGAAAAAACGCTGAACAAAACCAAAACTGGTGGAGGAAAAAGAATGAAGCGAAGGCAACAGCAATGCGGATCAACTGGATAAAACCACCAAATATGAAGGATTAAATTTTAATATTTCTACTGGTTAGGTGCTGTTCTATAAGCTGGAGGAAAAAAACGTTTAACTTTATTAATTTTAAATAAATGTTTTGTACAAAAAAAATATATACATATATATATAATTCTTTTTTTCTTGTAAATTTTTTTGATTAATTCTTGTAAATTCGACGTCATATTTTTGTATATATTGCAATTATTGACAACAGATTTGAAGCTTTCTCTGGTAACTAAACAACAAAACAGATATGAGTTGAAGAACTTTGGTATGTATGATCAACAAATGTATCTGTGCCCAGAATTTGTAAATAAAATACGAACTGCTGTTAGTTTGTTTTTTTGATTTTGATGGATTCTAAGTTCAACAAATACCGCAGTCATAGCAGATATGGCAGTAAAGAGCAGTGATTACGATGACTTTTGGCACATTTGATCCGTGAAATGTTGCAACACTGAATTATAAGAGGACGATTCAGAAACTAAATAATCAAGATTACACTCAAACATATCGTTGTGAACTCAGAAATCTTGAAAATTTATAGCTTTTTTTGTTTTCTGCTTTTCTGACTATAAAATATGCTGCTGTTTTTTACGACAGTTGACAGTTACAGTTTATAATGAACTGAATAATTGTAATATACTGGTTTTTTTGTTTAAAATTATACATATTACGGTTTCTGGCATTGTATCTGAGGATTAGTTGTCGAATGTACTTTGTAACTGCTAAATTAGCATAACTGTACTTTTATCAACTATGTT